AGAAAGAAAAAAACCCAAAGAAATCCTCTTGTAAGATTTATCAATGTGGGAAATCGGCATCTAACTTCTCTAGAGGCTATTGATTTTCTAGATAAGCTTCTTCGTTATGATCAGCTGAAAGTTCTTACAGCAAGAGAATCAATGGCTATGCATGTTATTGAATCCTTTAGTAAAAAAGACCTTGTAAATATGCCCCTTTGTCTTTGGGTGGAGCCTGTGAACAGTATGAATCAACAAAGGAAAATATTTCTCTAACTTAGGATGTTCACTGCATCCCTCGTTTTCAAAGTTTTAATGCTTTGAGGGAGGGAGGGAGGGAGGGAGGGAGGGAGGGAAGGGGGGGGGCGCGGGGGATGTGGGGGTGTGCTGGCTAAGCAATTGGAAGGGAAGAAGAGATACGATAATATGTTCATTTAGGGTGCTGGCTAAGAAATTGGCAGGGATGAAGGGATACAATGATATAAGACATGCATCTAGAGTTTCATTTTTTTTTTTTTGATGTTTTAATATAATTTGTTTATTTTGATTTTTTTTTCAATTTATTTATAAACAAACTAATTAACTACAAGGGTAATTTTATCCTTAAGGGGTGGATGTGAAAATGAATTAAAATATCAAAGAGTGTGAGTGTAATGTTTCAAACTTGATGGGATTTTATGAAAAAACGATAAATCTCAAGGAATGTTAGTGTAATTAACCTGTCTTAAAGAAACAATTTGATAATTAATTATATTTGTAATGCTTTTGACTTTTCTTACTTGTCATGAGCAAAGAGTTGGGTAAATGTCGTAGTCTGCTATAGCCTCTAGAGATGTTGGACCATGTGTGAAAATCTTTGTGGGCCCTCGTGATAAAGTTCTCTTCCTAGTGTTCTGTGTATGATCCGTTCCCTTAAGGAAACCCTTGGTTGCGGCTTTCATTAATTATAACTGGATGAAATGTTCACTTCGGATTGTTATTTTACCCATTGGTAACTCGGTCTGAGTTCTTATGATGTATGAAGTAGTTCATGTGTTAAAAGAGAAAAAAATCTCTACCATGTCAACTAGCTTTGGTCATAGCAATTTCATCCATACATGCTATACTTAACCTAATATGTTGTTTTATAAATTCTATACACAATATTATATTGTACATGAAAAAATGTTTTCTGCCTAGAACAATGTATAGAGAAGTCATTGTAGAGCATTAAGCTTCTAACAAGAGACCTTATTCTCGAAAGTGATTCTCTCCGGATTGTCTTAGCTTTGCAAGAGCAATCCCTCAACCTCTCGCCTGTTGACCCTATATTGAGATGCAAAGGGTTTGCTAGACCGAACTACTGGAGATTTCATTACACCATAATCGTGTATTTATTATTTAACGGGAAACTTGGCAAATAACCGTAATCCTCAAGTTGAAATAGTTACTCATAACCGTAATCCTCAAGTATATACTAACAAATAACCGTGATTAACCATACTCGCGGGTATTTTGGCCGTCCCTTGAACATTTGAAGCATGCACCTCCAACATATATATATGGTCGCATTCTGAAGCCGAAATCGAAAGGGAGCAAAATTGAAAATGTTAATAATGTTTCTGATGGTGGGGAAGTAATTATTTAGGAGTATGTTTAATTCACATTTCACATTATGTTGAATATACTTTGCATTTACTTTTTGAATCAATATTCTTCTTAATACATATCAAATACTTTCCTATACTATCTTCGAATATTTCACATTTTATACATACATCCAACATGTCTTCCCTCATTATTCCTTCTCCCCACGCCTCCATCTTTCAAGACTCTCATTAATCATGTAAATGCTAATGATATGAGGTGGACTACATGGTATTTGATTGTTGGTTTATGCTACTAGGAGAGCACAAGTCCAAAATTTGCATCCCTTCTGTTACTCATTTAGAACCAATAATCTCTCAAAACTTTGACCGAAAAAGAACAACGGAACATATGGGTGATGTTTTTTTTTAGAGAGATTAGGTTCTCATCCCTCTTTTTGTTACTCCATTGATTAAAACCTTATTACTTTTCAATTTTTGATAAAGGTCCCTAGGTTTTAATAAACGTCATTAATTATTTCAATAATAAAATATTTTTTATTTCTAAATATATTCATATATTGTTAGAAATGTTACATATGGTATATTTATATTTATGGCAAAATTTTCTATCATATATTTTCATTTTTAGTTGGGAACTTTGCGCAAGTACCACCTAAACTTAAAAGCATGTGCACCAATACCACCTGAACTCTTTTAGTTGTTGGAATCTACCACCTACCGTTACTTGCCATCCATTTTACTGTTAAAGCATTTCCCTTGTGGGGGTATTTTCATCAATTAACTTCACATGGCTCGTTAGAATAAAATAACTCCTAAATAAAGATGTCCAAGTCAATATGGCGCCAAAAGTGGACACATAAGTCAAATCCCCAATTTTGTAAAAAATTACTAGATTTTTGCATAAATTAGTTGAGTATACTATAGTTATGATTGCTTAGTCCTAAAACATTTTTTCCCCAGGATGGCAAGCCAACTAATGAACAATGTCAAGCCTCCAACAGTTAGATTAGGAGACAACTCGTGAACCAAAATCCTTGTTGTTGCTCTTCTTAGAGGGGGTAAAATAATTGGTGTGGTGGGGAAATGATGACTGTCCATTGCTTTTCGTGCATGTAAAACTAGTTTTTTTCATCATAACGATAGATTCATGATTTTGTAATTCTATAAAGTTTAAAAACAATATAAATCACCCATAGTAAACTTGTGCTTCATCAACTATAACAAATAAGTTATGGGAAATTAGGCATATACTAAATACCAAAAATTGTGCTTCATCAAACATAGTTGTTTTTCTTTCTCTCCATGAAACCCTTCGTGTCCTGCTACACCAACAACCCTCCATATAAAGTGATGTGAGGAAATTTAGAAAGTTAATTGACAAAAATGCCCCCACAAGTGATATGTTTTAATAGCAAAATGGATGGAAAGTAAAGGTCGGTGGTAGATTCCAACAATTGATAAAATTCAAGTGGTAAAAATGCAAAATTAAAAGTTTAGGTGGTATTTGCGCAAATGCTTTCAAGTTCAGGTGGTACTTGTGCAAAATTTCCTTTTTAGTTTGTGCACTTTTCTAATTTGCAACCTTTTTTTAATTTGTACCAATTTTCTTTTCAGTTTTAATTTGTACCCATATATTAATTTCTTTTTGTGCCCATATTTTATGAACTTTTATTTGTATTTGTACCCATATTTTTTAATTTCTTTGTACCCATTTTTAATTATGCTAAATGTACCCATGCTAATTATATGTATTATTTTATGTTTTAAAACATTTCAGTATTTATTTTTTAAAATGTGTTAATAATTTTGTGGGTCATTATTTTTTTGCTATAATTTTGTGAAGAATAAGATTACTCTATTATTGATTTTTAAGCATTTATTATATTTTAAATATATTATTTGAATTTGTTTAAATTTCATAATGTGCGGGACATTAAATGCATAAATGCATGAGTTAAATCGCTTAAATGATGCTAAGGACCTCAAACAAAATATTTAAACAAACAAAGGTTTCATTCGAACAATTAAGCTGATTAGGGATCATAACCAAAATGACCCTCTTCTTTTTCCAAAGTTATAACGGGAAGATAACGGGTTCAATTTTTTTTAGTGGACAAAACTAAAAGAAAGCAGTGCCAAGCTTATTATTTGGAGAAAATTTTGTGTCTATGATAATGGATTTATTTATATTTTTTTTTATTTAGAAAAACGAATGTACGTGTGGTTACGAAAATCGGGAGGACCAGGGCAATAACGTAAAATCAAGTGCAATGACGTTTTAGAATTTATATAACAGACCCCATTTAATGAGACAAAACTTGGTTATTGCCATTGTTGTTGTTGTTTTAGGGTTTAGGATTCTATCAATTTGGATGTTTCTATCAATTAGGGGTTTTAGAATTTTAGGGTTTAATTAGATAACCCTGTAACAACAAGCAAAGGAAAATTTTCATATAAATAAATAATTATTTCATATTAAGGTACATGAGTTATTTAATAATAATTTTTTATGTCACACGAATTTAACAATATGTAGGATGTTGTTAATAAAAAAAACCCCAATATAAAAAAAAAATTACTTTGCACACATAACTGCAAAAAAAATTAACAATATTTGGAATTTCAATTTATGTGTCATTTTAATTTGTGCATGAAGAAGCTTTATAGAGCATTATAATTTTTTAATGGACTAGTTGATGGCGAAATCACCGCACCGCAGTTCAGAATTTCAAATGTTGAGAAAATTCACAAGGACATTGTATTTGCATTCGTACAATTCATGAAAGGCTATGGATTGAAGAGGTAGATTCATGACAGTCTGGTACTGATTGTTCAAGAATATGAGTTTTCCTCTTTAATTTCTCCGATTACATTTTCACTCTGATTTCAATTTCACCGATTTTCTTTCATCTCCCTTTCTTGTCTATGTCTATGTTGTTTTCTTGTGCCTTGTGCTTATATAAAAGCATCATTCAGATCCACACAAAAATTCTTGATTTGAATTTGGGATGTTCTTGGCTAAAACTTGGTGGATTTAAGAATTAATTAGGTTTCAATCTTAAACTAAACCGTTAACAATTGTTCCTAAACCGCAGTGCTTCATTGATGTCTCCTTAGGATTTTGGATGGTGTAGAACGCCATTGGAGCGAAGGACAAGAACCAGAGACGGCAACAGAAGCTAACATTTGACGGAGACTTTTTTTTATCGCCCATTGCTTCAGATTTTTTAATAATAAAATTTAATTACACAAGAGAGTGGTTGTGTGTTTTATTTTTTTTCTTTTTTAATATTTATGAGCCCACCGTTTCGGAATATTTAGGAAGCAATTAAACTTCAAAACAAGAAAGCCACGTGTTTTGTTTTTATTAGCTTGGTACATATACAATGTGGCGTGCCGGGAATCTGAAATTTTTTCTCGAAAACAAGAAAGTGACGAAATTAACTCAGACATGCACTTTTATCATTTATTAATTTATTGAATGCATATGTTAATCTAGAAAAAATTGTTGTTTAATGGGCTGGGAAATTGAACAGACAAAAAATTGAGGAGAGAGAAAATGAGGCTTCAGAAGATGAAGGGTTCTCCAGGCCAAGGATTAGTGTTGACTAGAAAATGTGACCCGCGCGTTGCTGCGGGAAGTCAGACTCCTGCGTTGCTACAACATTGAAAATTATAACATATTATGGTTAAAACATATAAAAGATCATGTATCCAATGATTGTAGACCTAATAATCATGCACTCAACACTGAACACCTAAATGTCATCAAACCAAAGTAAACTTTCATTTAACTAAGTTCTTAGCACTTCAGTTAAATCTCAAGTTAAAAAAAAAGTAGTTCAATTTGACTAAAATTACACGGAGGGAGAAAGACAGAACAGACAGTTGCTGAAAGGTGTAAGTCAAATATGAAAAATGTTCAAAAGAGTGTAAAAGCTCAAATTATTCCTAGCATCAGTAGATTAACAATGAAGAAACAAAATTCATTTAAGTTTACATTGCTTGTCGGTTGGCAATTCAGCATGGGAAAAAATGCAAGAAAAAAATATTGTTAAAGCGAATAAGTGAATAAGAATGAACATTATATTTAGTATATCATGAATATGCATGTGCATGGTAAATACTAAGCAAGAATATGGATAGGCAAACAGTAACTATCAATTAACCATTTTAATTAACACTTTAAAAAAAATTGTTTTAAAGTATAAAAAATATTATTAAAAAAATATTCTATATACTATACAGACACAATGAGTGAAAATATATACCATTTGACAATACAAAATCAAGCAATGTCTAAAGATGATAAACAGATCCTAGATAGTGTTTCTTACAGAAAGCAGAACCATTAGATCATATGCATTGAAACAATTAACAAATTTTCAATGGGCAATACTAAATGTTTATTACTTAAGATCATTAAATAATGACTGCTCACCTTTTCATCAACCAGTATACAGCGCAGGCCTATATATTTATCGGTCGTTTCTGGAATTCTCGCTCTCCACATTGACACAGGACTTGAATTTTTACTGCCTTTTTATACGGTTGTAACTGATTGATAGGTGTTGGAATTGCATCTTCCATTCAAGCCACTGAAATTAAATACAAATTTTGTAAATTTGTAAACAGTCATTACAGAAAGTTTAAAATAAACGCTGGAACAACCAACAATTTATCAAACAGAAATTTCATAATACTATTGATTTTGAACACAGATAAAAATAAATAGATAAATAAAATATCAAATTTAGTTTAGTCAGTTTATATTCAGTTTATTGTTGTATTTACGCTGACTATGAAATAATCATCATGAAATGAAAAACACAGATACAAACCTTATATGTGTTCATTTCTTTTTTTTTTCATCAGACCAGTTTTCATTCTCTAGCTCTTGAGTTTAATTTTTCTTTCGATTCACTATGTAGATGGGTTCAACCTCCCTTTGTTTTTCCTAGATTTTTTTCACTGAAATACAAACCTGTGTGAGTGCTTAAAAACCTGCATTGGTTATGGATATTAACAGTTGCATAATGTATATACCTGCAACATTAGAGCAGATGAGGAACAGTTAGTATCATCAATAGTACTTGTCATCAACATGAACTTATCATCCAAAGCGGTATTAAATTTGTTTAATTCTTCATCACCTATGATATAAATGAATAATACATCTCAAAAGAATGAAAAAAAAATATACACAAAATATAGTTAACATTGCTTTGTAATTTCATATCAAAAGGGCATAAAAAGTTGGTTGATTCATTTGTGAACTAAATTAAAAACAAACTTAAACGTTAATTTACTAATGAAGAGGTTGATTATTCGATGATAAACTTCACATGCACGCATTGTGTATTTAAGGTGAGCAATTTCAAAATTTTATACCTGAGGCACCTGGAACCGTACATACGAAAGCGCAAAAAAAGATAGCCACTGCTTCCTGAAAATAAAAAAGAACCAAATCATATATACCCACTCTAAAAATCCAAACACAAACACTAATCCATAAGTTAATTATAACCAATTTTTTTTACAGAAAATAGATCCGCAAACGAAACACTACTGAAATAAATTCTAAATTTTGTTCAACAAAAATTTTAAGAGGAGGAACATAAATTATATACCTTAATCAGAAAGGGCTTGCAACGTCCTGAAATAAAAAACAACCAAATCATACACCGACACTAAAAATCCAAACACATAAACGATGAACACTTGTCCCTGAAAATTAAAACAACCAAATCACACACCCACACTAAAAACCCAAACAGACAAAGGAAACCGTAAAAATTAATCATCTGTATTGTTCTTTTTTAGCATTTTTATAAAAAAAATAAAAATAAAAAATTGAACCAGAAACGAAACAGGACCCAAAAAAATTAAAAATTTTGTTAAAAAAAAGATTTAAGAACAAAACATAAATTATATACCTCACCCAAAAATGGCTTGCAAGCTCGTACGATAAAACCCTAAAATTCAAAGACCAATGTTCCCTGCAACCAAAATCGAAATCAGATCAAACAACCATACACAAAGTGCGAAAAAATTAAGAAAACACTCGGTACAAAATGCCTAGACTTGAATTTTACACTAATCAATTCAAAAAAATTCTTGCTATCCAAACAGAAAATAAAGAAGCGAATGAAGCAACGCACCTAAAACGGTGCGATTGGTTTCGGGAAAAGAGCAGAAAAAAAACAGACGAACGACCTTTTTAGACGACCGGATCGAAATCTAAACGGAAAATAGAGAGAGCAAAAGAAAAGGAAAAGACAGAAGAGAAGAGGAAAGTGAAAAGTGGAAAGTGGAAGATGCTTCCAGCCAAAAAATAAAACAATCAGCCTCTGAACAGAACCCCCCACGATGATCAACACGTGGAAGCTAGAGGTACCAAAAGCAGAGTCAAACCAAAAATTAAAACAAACAAAGGCTAAGCAACAACATTTATGGGAGAGAGAGAGAAAACATAATAATTAAAAAATTAATGGCAGGACAAACAAATTATTTAAAAAATAGAAGTTAAATCAGGCCACATGGTTTGTGGCACATCAAACACTAAAAAATTATAAAAAAACCAAGGGAAAAACACAGAAACAGAGAGGAAGAGAAGGGAAAAGCAACGGAAGAAAATGGAAGAGCCTTCGAGGACCTTCCCCACCAAAAACGACGCACACAGGTAGAGCACGTGACACAATTAATTCTCACCTTCTCCCAACAGGCGAGATGACAGGGATGCAGGAAAGCATGCGAGGGGAAGTCAGGACAGAAAAAGCGAATAAATATCTCAATTTTTAATAATTGTTTTGTCCATGTATCTAATTTTTTTATAATTTTTTAATGTGTTGTTTGCCACAAACCATTGCAGGATCTGAGTGGAAGACAAAAAAAACAGCAAAACCTAAAAATAAAATAACCTAAAGGCAAAGCAATGAGAGACAGGTGAGCTTCTCATAAATTTTAATAATTATTTTATGCATGCATCTAATTTATTTATAATTTTTTATTATGTTTTGTGCCACATGGATCGAAGGTGAGATGGCGACAGGGATCACAGGGAAGCAGGAAGTCAGGAGAGAAAAAGGAAACAAATACCTAGAATCAAAAGGGTAAAACGGCAAAGCCGAGCAACACGCGGGTTAAAAAAAACAGATAAGGGAAGGGGGTAAAAACGACATTTCATGTAGCATCTTCAAAATGCTAAAAAAGTGAGCGTTAGATCAGGGGCAAAACCGGATGAGCACTGTTAATGAACAGTGTTTTTCCACCAACGTTTAGTATAGATAGAATGTTGAATAGTTGATGGGTACTGGGAGTGATGATTGGTTTTACTTTTTACTTTTTAGTTATTACTTATTTAATATTATTTAACATTGACAATGTTAAATCGAGAGTTAAAAATAAACACACGTGTCGAAATATTAGAAATGAGACATAAACGAGACATAAATTTGGGGATAGTAGATCCTTGACCTATCACAACTTGTATTTTTACACATATAAGCAGGAGCGGATCTACTAAGGGACCAAGGTGGTCCCATAACCACCCAGAAGTCAGAATAAGTGGCTGTAAGGATCTCTGAGGACCACCCAAGTCTGGGTGTGTGAAGGTAGGCAGCCTGAGGAAGAAGAAGGAGAAAAATTGCTCTGTTTTTTTTTCTTAACCCTCTACTGGACAATGTCGTTTCATCTATTCATTTAATGAGTATTTGCGAGGCCGTTTGTTTTTGGGCTTTGGCTTATAGAGATTCATCTATTCATTTACCGAGTATTTGCGAGGCTGTTAGTTTTTGGGCCCTAGCTTATAGAAACTAATACCACATCAGTTTATTTATCTTTGCTTTTCTGTTTTTTGTTGAAATTATTTGCTTTTGTTTCTCTACATCGTTCCCTCATAGGCTTATCCTCCTTCCCTTTTCTAGTCTAATTTTTCATTGCTGATCAATTCATCTTGGTTGTCTGTGTGTTCTTCTCTTTGGTTCCTTTTTTTGTGTTTTCATTTACATTTGTTTCCTTTGTTTTCTAATTATAGAGGATAATTCTACACTTATTTTACAATAAGAGAAGAAAAAAGTTTGAACCTAGGACACAATAGGTTAAAGAAGAAAGCCCTAACCCACTTGAATTGTTTGCTTTGTTTTAAACCAGTAATAAAAGTAAAAGTAAAGACAGTATGTAGCACATAAACTGCATTTAGTCTTTGTAGCTTGATACGTTATTTGTATAAAAATTATGAATGAAAAGTTAGTTTGTAGTTTATTGTCTAGTTTTTTAATAATATATATATCTATTTTTTTTTTTAAATTTTATATTAGGATTGTCTAATGCTAAAATCCTAGATCTACCGCTCTCGTTACTTTTTCCCCATATAAAGTGAAAAACTCACTTATTTCCTTTCCCCATTCACGTCCTATGTCTTTCACGTCCTATGTCCTGTCTTTCACGTCCTATGTCTGCGTTGGATAAAGTGAAAACGCACTTATTTTCTGTCCTTTCCCCTTCCCGTTGCCTCTGTAGTATGTCTGTGTCACATGCTCTGTTTGTAGTTTATTTTTATTTTTAAATATGCTTACGTAGTCTCTGTATATCCATATTTTGACTGCTCCGGCCAGTAAGTAAAAATTGACTTGTACTTTCTTGAGCATATCTTGGGGCGACAATAATTCACCTTTAAGTTCATGACAGTAAGCAAGCAGAGTAATGCTAGTACAACGACTGCTCCCAGTAAAAGTTTCCTCGGGAAATTTATGGTTTCCACAATATATATATATATATATATATATATATATATATATAAGAATATGTTATCTACACATCTTATTTTATTTTTTACAAATTTTATAATTTCTGTCCATTGATTTTCTTCAATTCATCAGATTCGAATGTTGAAAATTAAAAATATTTGTGAGAAATAAAATATGATGTGTGGATATTACATATATATATATATATATATATATTATATCACCAATAATTTACCTTTAGGTTCATGACAAGCAAGCAGAGCAATGCTAGTACAACGACAGTCTGCTCCCAGTAGTAAAAGTTTCCTCGGGAAACTGCTCCCAGTAAGTCTGGTTTCCACAATATATATATAAGTTCAAATTCTGCTTGTTAGCCTTATTATTCATGTAGATATTTTCAAAATTTATATTAGTATTAATGGATTTTATTAGTTTATTTTATGTATAGAAAACTTTCCAACTCATCTAAACTGCATCTGAATGATGATATTAGCATATTAGCATGTTGGTAACTATGAGTATGAATGTATGATCACTCTCTCTCTCTCTCTCTAGCTGTATTTGCATGGTGGAATGAATGTTATATTCCATATATAACAAATAAGATTGTGAATCATTATAATAAACTTACGCAGTTGTAGGAGGCCATGCCAAACAAGCTTTTGGGTCCCCTCGTTTTGTTCTTCGTGGAATGTATGTTATGTGCCATAAGAAGCTTTTGCCTCTAGTTAAGTGACTAATGACATTGGCATTCATGGTGGTGAGTTAACGTAAATAAACTTTGAGTTCGAATATAATTTGGCTGGTTATATTTCCTTGTGTATATTCATCAATATAGAGAGTTTACAAGGAAGAGTTTGAGGTTGAATCAAACTCTTGTAAAACAAACTGATTACACAAGAGATAATTGCGTAAAGCTAAATTTACAAAATTCAATCGTAGAAACCCTAAGGCTGCACATAATCTTGAACAAGTCAGGCTTTGGAGAAGCATCTACGTTCAACTGTTTGGATGAGGAAATATTTGAAAACTCAATTGGCAGAGTGAGGCTTTGGTAACCGACGATATCATGCATTTGCTTTTCTGGATACAACTATGACACTTAATCAAGCTTTGTCTCATTCATTTAGTGTGACATATAATGTATTCAAAAAGTCAGAGACAAGTCGATCGATATATTTGCTCTTGTGATGATTGAAGAATTAGTGAACTCACAAATTCTGCTTAGTGCTTTAATCAAATAATTAATTGTTGCATAAATATTAAATGGTTGTTGACATTTGTAAAGAAATTCGGGCTGTTGATAAGAAGCTGCACTTTTGACTTTTAACCATATTATATATTTTTATAATCTTCAATTGTTAAAAGTTGAAATCGTGGATTTGGGTTCTATATCGTTTTAATTGTGCATGAAAAAGTTTAACAAAGCTTTATAGTTTTTCTTTATTTTTTTTTTAAAAGGCATCGGTTGGTGACGATGCTACCTCATTTCATTCTTTCGGAGGCCGAAAAAACTTACAGAAACGTTATAATTTTTTATTTTTCTAGTGAGTTGGTACAATGTGCACTAATTAGCAGTAAAGGATGGAGACTTAGCTATTAATGGTGCAATAAGTCCATGCACCTACACTCATGTATTGAACGAGAAAATGACATTAAGATTCGTCTACGCTAAACGCTAGATGTTCCTTGTTATCCGATCTGAGCTTGGCCCTTATTCATTACTCTTTACTGACACTATTGATTTTCCTTCGATCCGTTTAAGGAAACTTCAGTTTGTCCACCACTGTAAAAGATTTTTGCCACTTTTAACATAATATGCCCACAACTATTATCCCTAATAGTAAACAAGCAAAGATTTGATCCATCCATCGTCTACCATCAGTAGTATATGTTAATATTTAAAGCAATTGGATTAAACAAATTAAAAAAAAATCAAACACTATAATTAATTAACAAGAGTAAACAAAAGGTGAAAAGTGGTGATCAATTAATCGCTCCCTTTTAAACTTTCATGCAAGCAGTTTACATCTATTTGTATGGAAAAATGCTAGAATTAGTTGTACATGAGTTGATCATGATAATTCTTAATTGTAAAACCTAAGAAAACATGAAAGTGGTGAGACTAACTCAGGAACGCGCTTTCATCCATTATTAGTTTATTGGTTGCATACGTTAATATTCTAAAACCCGTATCATCTACTCGTATTTTTACATGTGTAAGCTCGTTAATTTCCCCCCATCAAATGAAGAACTGATCACTTGTTTTAACTTAACATCTCCAAATTAAAGTTCGCAGCTAGGGTGAGGTGCTAGGTGCATTGAAATTTGTAGATGACCAAATCAAACAAGAAGTAAGACATACAACTGAGAATATGAGATTGTCTATTTGCTCCAAAAGTGATTCGATCACCAATTTAGCATTGAAATTTCATCCAAGCGACTTTATGGGTTTTAATGTGTGAATCCCACCAAACCTATCTACAAGTATATTTTTGGTAAGTAATTATTAGTAGTTTATGCTCTCCTAAATCAAAACTCAAATCCTCCACTGCCCAAAGAGCCATAGCTCATGCTCCCCAAAAACGCCTCAGTTTCTCACTAGCTAGCTACAAGTGCTATGTGTGTGTATAGTGTTTTCATTTCTTGTCACGTGACAGATCAAGTATATACAGAACATTTAATTTGACGCATGCATCTCCAACAAATATATATTTATATATATTTATTTATACACATATATATTAGTTGCACTTGCATCGTATACATACATTCATCTAGGGCTGGAAAAAATTTTCGAAAATCCCAAACCAATCCGAAAAATTCTCAAACCCAAACCGAAATTATTCCGAACTTTGGTAATCCCGTACCAAAAAATATCGAAATATTTAGTATGAGATTGGTTTCCAGATTTTTTTTATTCGGTAATACCGAAATCCCGAAATCCTCTTTTCCTTTTGCTTTTGGCTCCTACTTCCCAGCGCTACCAAAGAACAACAAAAAAAAAAAAAGATTGGCATACAAATAAAACCCATGCCAGAACCGCAAAAAGAAAAGTTCTCTCCGCTGTGAGAGTATTTCTCTTCTTGGTGAGAGTCTGATCAAGAAACCTTAAACACAGTTCAGCTCCTGTCTTTAATTCATTGACCAACCTTCTGACGCATTCAACTCCCTCAACAACCCCACCTAAATCCCCACCTTAACAAATCCACCTACATCCCCACTAAATCCTTGTCTGTATGCACCCAACCCTTTATACTCTTAAATTCCCCAATCTTTGAATCCAGATTTGCCCTGGTGGGTCAGGTTGGGAGAGTTGGGGGATGGGACAGCTAATCCCTCCTCTATCCGCAGAAAGCGTCAGGAAAGAAGCAACCCTAGTTAATTACAGATCTAAAGACTATGGCAATCAGACTCGAAGTAATTACCCCAACTACCCAAGGCTATCAAGGCAGAGACAGATATTCATACCACCAACGGATCTAGCAGTTTGAATTAGGGATTTACGATTTAGGGTTTTGATTATTTCGGATTTGCATGGTCAATTTCTCCTTGATTTCTGGATTTGTATGTTCGATTTCTGCAGGTCTTAAGCAATTTATGCATTGGTTAGTATTTCGGGAATCCCGATTTGTTCCAAAATCCCAAAACTATTTCAGGATTCTCAAAAATTTGGTTTAGGATCGATCTTGAAATTAAGATTCCTGAAAACTTCGATTTAGAAATCGAAACATGATTTTCGGTTCGATATCTCATACCGAATTAGCCCTACGTTCACCACATCTCCAGTCAAATTCTTAGTGGAACAAAGCCATGCATTAATTAAAAAAATTAAATAATTAAAAAAAAAACTGGTTTTAAGGCATTAGTACTTACTGGTCTGCAATCTGAAACCGAAAACGAAAGGGAGCAAAATCGAAAATGTTAATAATGGCTCTGAGTCGGACAAAGCCACACATTGCTTTTTTTTAATAATTAAAAATAAAAATAAAATAAGCCATTCATGAACCTCTCCTCCTCATCCTCCTACTCTGCCTATAAAATAAGCTTCACAGGAGACTATTCTCCCAACACAACTCAGACTTCCCTCTCTTCCCTCTAGTAACAGCTTGGTTTCTTTTTACCACCCTCCACCCACCACCATTAATCCGGACCCCCCTCGACTAGTCGTCAATCCCCTTCAAAGCTTCTGTAATCCAATTCCTCACCTGTGCTTTCGTAATTCCTTCTGCACACACAAAGATACTCCTCTTTAGCATCAATGCTCACTTTCTAAATGCATTCCTAGCTCAATGTACATCAAATTAAGGTTCAAATTCTCCAGCTCCGGTATATATTCCCCTCTTTCAGCACGTCTACAGTAATCCTCCGCTGTCTGCATCTCCGATGCAGACATCCTCCTCCTCACCAACACCTTGACTTGCTCCTTTTTCAGCACAACCACACATTCATTTTTTGTAATATCCAGGAGATTCTGACTGAGCTGGGTCAAAGCGTTGCTGTATTGGTTTTGGGATCGGGTATGGTTCAAAATGCAATTAGTGTTTTTGAGTATTGCATCTGCTCTCGGAGAGAAAGTATTTCATAGAAAGTCACATCTAGCCAAAACTCTCTCTCAGAGCAGATGCAATACTCAGAAACACTAATTAAATTTTGAACCCTAACTGATTCCAAAATCAATATAACAACGCTTTGACCCAGCTCAGGCAAAATCTCCTAACGATTATGAAAAATGAAAGTGTGGTTGTTCTGAGAAATGAGCAAGTCAAGGTGTTGGTGAGGAGGAGGACGTCTGCATCGGAGATGCAAACAACTAAGGATTACTGTAGATGTGCTGAAAGATGGAAATATATACCGGAGTTGGAGAATTCGAACCTTACTATGACGCACGTTGAGCTGGGAATGCATTTAGGAAGTGAGCATTGGCACTGTACAAGGAGTACCTTTGTGTGTGCAGAAAGAATTACGAAGGGCACGGATGAGGAATTGGATTACACAAGCTTTGGGGGAATTGTTGACCAGTCGAGGGGGGTCAGGATTAATGTTATTGAGGATTGAGGGATGAGAACGATGTCCGTGTTGTTGGTTTGTTAATTAGTTATGAGTGAAGCTTGTTCAGGTTATGGTGGTAGTAGTGCTAGAGTGGAGTGTTTTATATTACTTTGAAATTCTAGTTGTAAGTTGATGAGTCGTCGGTCGGCGGTCATGTAGTGTAGTAAGTTGTTGAGAGTCATTCGTCTTGTCATGAGGACGCCAGGTACGTGGGCTTTTGGCATGCAGTCGAGTTTATGTATTTGCTATGAGATTATTAATAGAATTCGTATTTAGTTTCAAACAAGCAGCTAAACCCGCGCGATGCCGCGGATTACAAAACTATGTTAAACGTGTAGAAAATTTTGAAAAAGTATGTGATAAAGAATAGTGTTTATATACATATATTACATGAGAAAATTGAGAATGCTGATTTGCCATAGCTAGGGAGTGCTATTTACAAAATGTATAGAGATTACCTTCAACCCTCTGTAACCATATAGAGGTATTGAACGATTGATAACCATGAAAATTCATATGTATTCTACAAACATAAATCTACCAAGTTAATGAATTCCATTAAAAAAATCTACCACATGAAAAATTCATTTGGTATTTACTGTAAAGCCAAACCACTAAGGAATTGGAACTTATTTTGTAAAAAAATTAACCCTTCTTCGGGTTGAACCAGCTACAACTCTTGGCGTTGGCAACCTCAAGCATTGTGGCAACTCTTCTGTTCTCGTCATAAACATCTGATTCTGCCAAATCCTTCCACCTGCATCCTAGAATTCATCCTCCCGTCACAGCGAATACATATAAACACCAAATTCCAAATTTGCAGTAAAAACCAAATTCCAAACAATGATTGTATGCATATCCGAGCCATAAGGGAACCAAATTTGAAGAATTATTTGGACATGAAAACACAAAAAATTGGAGGGAAAAATATAAATTCATCAAAATTCCCTACTCAAGGATAAGCTAAAATTGGAAAATATTCAAACCCCAGAAACTTTGGTTTCCTAAATGCCACATACATCTGCATTAGAAAACATTGGAGTAGCGTAATACTTAATTCGGTATAAAAGTGAAAAATTTAAGTCTTTTCTGTATAATGCAAGTGTTTATGTTCACATAATCATGAGACATCATTCCAATGATTTCTAATGCACAAAATTGAGGATTTCTCTAAATTACATATTATCAAAACCTGCAGTTATCTTGCTCATGAAATTTCAGAGCTAACAGTTAAAGGGATGAACTACTCTGTAAGTTTACTCTTAATTTAGATAACATGAGCTAGTTTACCTTCCACAAATTGGCCATCTTTCGTTTTTTGCCAACCATTTATTATTGCAACCAAGTTGAAAATGATGAGGACAGGACATGTCGTTTGACTTTTGGATTTTTTTGGTGTATTCTGCAAGAAAATATATCAACTATTAAGTATTAAAGCACCAAAAAGAACAATTGAAGAAAGATGCTAGTTTGCAACACCAATATATATTATCACCGAACAATTGATATCTTAAGCCATATTCTAGTAATGCCCATTGGTATTAACTACAGTGACATTTGCACATTTAACTTACCATCCAGATATGTAGGGCAGACGTCTTCATCTTCAGAAGATGGTTGCACATTAGTCCATATGCAAGTTTGTTGTCAAAGCCTTTTCCGAGTTCTCAGATTCGTCTTCAGCATCATCTCCATACTCCATTCCATTTCTTTCCGAAACCCAGGGATTGGGTGCCACAACTGCCTCTTCTCAGTTGTTGTGTATCTGCTTGCAAATGAATCATTGACTTCTAACACCTAAAGACCAAGCCATCACGCTGCAAACGCTAATATCTCTGATCAACATTGAAGGGGGTTGATAATGCCAAAATAGCCCCTTGAATATGTAACGAAGGTGATGTCCATCAAGCCTTTGAAAAGGTGCACTATACTGTTTATAAAAACTAAAGTCAATCAAACTCATGGATCTACCTTTATCTGAGCATCTTCAACCCAAATTTCTTTATATCAGAACCATCATAGACATTCATTGAGTAATGAGTGAGTACAAATCTGTCAATTTTAGATTAAGGCCTTTTTTGCATATAATGCACGGTAATGAACAAACAACACCTCTATTCCTATTTAGTTATCATTATGCAGCTGATGGCAAACAATCATATTGTTTGAGTCAATTCCTAATTGACAATAAGTGCAAGTAAATGCTTATGTGAGTTGTTCTTGAATAATTCATACAGTAAATCTTTAAACAATGGATTTTTTCCAATTCAGGATTTGAGAAAATAAACATACTTACTGAGGTTCTCGAACTGAATCCTTAGGCTTTTGACAGCTACTCTGCAAAAAAAGCAGGAAAATTAATACTTTCAGATTGAATTCATAGAGAAACTCACAAAAAGGACAGCATGTGGAACATCAAGTGTAAAATACTTGCAGAAATAGAAGTAACTAAAATATATGAAGTTGAGAACTTACCTGCTGCCTGGATCTGTCACATCATCATCATCCACATCAAATGGGCAAGGAAACTCAGTATCATCAAAATCATCAGGAAAAGACCTACGGGAGCTGAAGACCAAATTTCCTGTAATTCAAAAAACCCATATGAAAAAATGTAAACAGTCAGCGTTAAATCTATACCATGAGTACATGATGATGAGGTCGAGAGGTATATGCCAATGGTGAAGGCTGACATAAATTTAACAAAATAGATGAGAAACATGAGAATGTTGAGAAATTAACATCAAAATTTAACAAAATTTAACATCACTCACTCTACAAACAACCTCCCGCTTCCTCAAAAATCTAAATTAATCACAATAGTCAAATTCCAAGCAGAAGACTAACAATAATAATTTGATAATTGTTTGGTGAGATTATACAGAAAAAATCTTGCCTCGAAACCTGGTGGAGCTTCAAGCTGCTTCCATGACGATGTCGCTTTTGCCAAGAACAGGTTCCCGAAGCGAAATAGGGCTGAAAATGAAGATCGCAGTAAGAGCTAAACTGCGATAAGGGGACGAAATTCTGGAAGCAAAGAAAGAGCCCTGCTTTTCCAACCTTCTTCCCTGCTTTCCCTGCTTTTTCAATCCTTGGATCCCTAGAAAATCACCAGATTATAGATTTCTTTGGCAAAATAATTTTTTAAATTCTAAAGCAGGATAAATTGCTTACCTTCCGTAAAGAGGGTTATGGAAAATGCACGGATCGCTAAATCATGAAATTACCCAAAAACTCTATATTGTAGAAAATTGAAAATTGTAGGTAATCAAAAGCTCAAGAATTTTACACAGAAGAACTAACTTTCAAATAATTAAATATATAATCACGGGAGAAACGACACCTGTGTATGGAGGTGCTTCGATGGAGGGGGGAGAGAGAGAGAGAGAGAGAGAGAGAGAGAGAGAGTGGAAGAGAGAGAAGCTCCGAAATCGGGAGGAAGAAGCCGCGAGTATGTTTTTGATTTTTAGTTGCTTCGGCGAAGGAAGAGGTGGAAGAGAAGTCGAAACATCGAGAAGGAAGAACACGCGTCACCATTTTATTCCCACAGCGTAGCAAACCGGCAAAGTTGGAACCACAAAAAAGAAGTAGGGGCAAAAACGGAATCACACTGTACTATGAACAGTATTTCAGTGCATTTTCTCTTTTAGTATATATATAATTTGCTTGAGCTATGCACTCTTGTTTTTATAGTATTGTTTCTCTGTATTAGTTTGTTTCCCTTTCCTCGCTAGTTAATTTGTACTTCCTGGGTGTTGTTTGTCCTGCTCGGTTTGCTTTCTGGGCAGGCCAGTTGCTTGTTTTAATGAATAAAAACTGCAGAAAATTGACAAATTAAATAAATGGTGCAAAATGTTTTGTTACAGAAATATATCCATCATAATTTGTATTCAAGTTCATTATGTGGCGCTTGCGTCGGTTGGTTCTACGAAGATGAGTGATTCTGTTTGGGTCAATCGGCCCCCATTGTTGCTTGTTTTAATGAATAAAAACTGCAGAAATTTGACAAATTAAATAAATGGTGCAAAATGTTTTGTTACAGAAATATATCCATCATAATTTGTATTCAAGTTCATTATGTGGTGCTTGCGTCGGTTGGTTCTACGGAGATGAGTGATTCTGTTTGGGTCAATCGGCCCCCATTTTTGGTTTATGTTTTGCACAATAATGATCTTTCATGTCCTCATTAATTTTGTTGCGGTGGTGTGGTGGTTGGGGTGACGCTTCCACTTGATGAAGGTGTCTTTGTGTTGTCTCCCCGTTCACTACTTGTTTGCCTTCTAGGTGTTTGCCTCTCTGTAGGCTTTCCTGTTCTCTTTTGACTTCTGTGCCTTTGTATGTTTTTCCTTGCTTCCAAAAAAGAAAAAGAAAAAAAAAGTTCATCATGTGGCGGGATAAAAAAGTAACCTAGCTAGTTATATATACGATAATATCTAGTTTGACGTGGACCTCTGTCTATTTTATATTTTATATATATAGAGGGTTTTTTGAATGTTACATATTAAATTAAAGGAAAACTAATTAAAATACTTGAAAATTTTGAGTTTTAACGATAATGATAAAATAAAAGGTAATGTGGTTTTTTGTTAAAGTGAACAGTACCGTGAACTTTTTATTAAAATTCTCATAAATTAAACCTATAAATATCAAATTTTTGGGTCTCGATCGGTTCACCTTAGAGCCCTTCAAACCTTCTAGCAAGTGAGATGGGTTGCCTCAGTACCCCAACAATTACTTATGAGTCTTTGCACGTGATGAACAGATTGATATGATGCGGCACACGTCAAACAATAAAATGTTAACAAAAAAACCAGAAGCTACTTTGTGAGGAGAGCGGTGCCCACCCATTAAAAGCAAGATATTTTTCTTGATTATAATTAATTAATGGTACAGGAAGTTGGTGTGGTGGGGTGTGCCGTGTGCTTGAATTTGGAAGCATGGGAAGTCTTCGTGTTTCCAAGTTCGAAAGCGGTTGATAGAAGTAAAGGATATTTTTGCAAAGAGAAGAAATGGCAATGAATGTTTTGTGGTTAAGTTTGATACGCATATAAGGCAAAAACTCAGCTGCTACAGCCGGGATTTATTGGGGCAAAGCTGACATTGGACTGCAATTAGAGAGCTCTTATTGTTATAATATTTGGAGGATATGCCAGTTTGGACAAAATAATGACAGAAGGCTTTTTACGGCACGTGTATATTGCTATTGTAGACGCAGTGGCGGAGTCAGAATTTTATATGAGAGACCTCTCACAATGTAAAAAAAGAGGGTAGTATTTATAAATTTAGTAACAAAAAAGAAAGTGTTATCGACACTCCGAAAATCTTATTATACACTCATCCCAATTGTATTTTTCTACATTTTTCAGAAGAATTAACAAAATCAATAAAAATTTTACAAACACTAACACTCAAGTAAGAGGTAGAATAGAGTAGAAACGAATAAAAATTATAGACATTAATAGAGATTTACAAATCTTATTGTGCTTATTGAAGTGATTTGTAATTTTTATTGTAAGTTGAATGGATTTGGAATTTGAAACGACAAAAGATATGAAATTTCGAGAATGAGATATGAAATAGCTCACGAATTTTTAAATTGCACCGTGAAAGACATCAGCTTAAAGTGTGATGNATGACGTGAGAACTAGGGTTTTGGCTGGGCTTGAGCAAGCCAAAGCTGAGATATATTAGTGCCAAGGGTCTGGAGCACCAAGCCGATTGTTGATTGATCAGAAACAATAGTGTAATGATTAATGGAGAAGTATAACCAACCAGTGACGAACATTACAAAGTGATGTCCCATTTGCTTTTATCTGTGGGACGAGTATTTCCGATTTTTATGGGGGTAATCTGTAAAGAGACAGTGACAGGGCTTGGTTATATTTTAATGTTGCGTGAATTATGGGCCTCCAACAATAATAGAAGATGATGAATTGGGTTTCTAAAAACAGCGGAAATATATATATAGAGAGAGAGAAAAATTTTAAGAGAAAGAATCCCTATTTTTTTTATAAAAATAAGAATTAGTTGTGGTACTTAAATTACATGGAACTTTAATTATTCGAACTATCTATTTTTCAAGTTGCACCTTATAAATCATATTTGCAAAATATTAGCTAAAATCGAAAATTTTATTGAGAAACAATGAAATTTTATCTTGATAATTAAATAAGCAAATGGTTTCAGATTGAATTGAATTTTTGCAATATTGATCTATGAATCGAGACTTACAAAATAGACGATTCGGATCGTTAAAATTCGATGTGGAGTGAACCCCACACCTAATCCCCATATTTTGAAAAACAAATGGGAATGCCTTTGCATAAGGGGCTACACACACGTACATACATGTGTATTTGCTTTGAAGGGACGCTGGTAATTATTGTTATCTCCATACCGTAACAAAGGAAAGATCGGGGGTTCATGGGATTCTCCTTTATTTGTTCCAACATTCATGGATGGGATTCTATATGGTTTTCTGGAGTAGAGAGTCAGTAGTTGTAGTGAATTGGAGTTAAAAAGAAAGGTAAAAAGTAGTAAACCAATAGTATCCTGCATTCCTTTAAAAAAGTACAAAAAATGCTGTCAATAAAGTTAAAATTATAAAGTTATTTGAGATAGCTCAAATGATGAAACATCTATTATATTATGTTTGGATATGGAGGCCATTCCAAGTCTCAAATCTAAGATTTTATTTCTAAGAGAGGTTAAAAAACATTGCGAGAAGACTACAATGAGCTATTCAAAACTACAAAGAAACTGAACAAATGACTTGAAAGTTCAGAGGTCATTTTCTAAGTCCTTCCACATAAGTAGTGCATTTCTAACTAATTTAGCTTAAGCAGAACAAAATTTTAAAGTCTTCTTTTTTCCACTTTCCAAAACAAATTATTTAGAATCCGGCCTTTTCTTTCCATGTTGATTAGACAATTTGATGGTTTAGAGCAAGCATGCACATATATAGCATATAAATCTGGCTTTATAAGGTTGTTGGTCATATATATGTGCCCCTTATAATTAATTAACTGGTTTGGGAAATGCAAATTCGGTTGATTACTTAATGGCAAAGCTGCAACTCCCACATTACTTTTGTTGTGTGTCCAAAGTATTGGTTGTAATTTAGGGAGATCTAGACAGCTTTCATCTTTTGCATCGCATCTGCCATGTTTTATGTCTAAGGCTTGGGAGGAGGAGGATTAGTAGGCCTCATGTGATCGTGATACCCTTAAAAAAAATGTTCCCAGTCTTGGCTGTTTTACTGGTGAATGATACAAAGCAAAAGAAAGATGCCCACATTACTTGTTTGGTAGAAAATGTCAAAGGGAAATTACCATTCTTGGAAATTATAAAATGGAATAGTGGCTGGAGGTTGCATAGCTGCGACATATTTGGCAGAAGAAAAATATAAAGTTTGAGCAATCCATGTGAAAGCAGGGAGAGATCAAAAAGCGAAGTACCACAACAAATCAAAAGAAATATTGTTGGTGAAGAAAAAGGAGATTTGAATTGGTTGCTTTTGCTTTTGTGTACAGAGAGCCCTAATGGCTGGGCACACAGTTGATTTCTTGACCATGCCTATCACATGGATTAGTATCCAACGAATCTTTAGTTCCATGAGACTTTACAAATTAAGGTACATACATGCATTTCACAAAGCTAGTTCAACTAGATGATTGAGGAAAACAGACCCTAATGGTTTGTGGCTTGAATAAAAGTGTCCTATGAGTCTAGGGCAAATCTAGGGCACCATATATACGTAATGGACAATCGGCTGTGGCAGTTCATGAGCTACTCAGCTTAAGCTGATTCATGACCTCAAAGGTAAACGTGTCCATGGAAAATATTAGGGCATCTCCAAAGAGTAAAGAACATTTGTCACTCTAACCCTCCTCAACTATTTATGTGCAAAAGGGGAACAATTGATGGCAAGCCATAGTTATTTATCATTTCCGAACCTGAAGAGGCTATGGGAAATTTTGATAGGTTCCTTGCTCTATGTCTTTGTGATTGCACATAGAGAGAATGACTAACAAAATTCCACTATTATTTCCATAATTGTCCAACTATCAATTACAATGCTCTTCTTATAGTAACTACCCTCCAAGACTCTCTAACAGCCTCTAACTAACTCATATCCACCATACACTTGTCACAATCTTATGATGCTATTAGAGTGTCCTATCAATACCCCACCTCAAAACATAAGTGGTATTGTCCCAATTGTACTGTGTTCGTACCATATTTAGGGCCTCCGTATTTAGACCTCGTATAAATACTCGGGGACTCAAATGTAATTATGTAATAAATGAAGGGCAAATATATAATAAGTGAGGAGTTCTTATTCTATAAAAGGACTCCTCACTCTCCTCATTAGAGGAGGTCAAGGTTTAGGCCATGGGAAGAGAGAAAACATCTCAGAGAGGGCAAACACAAAAAATAGGCTAGAGAGCACACTGCCTCTAGCCTTCTTGTATATTCACCATTCAGAGTGAAACAATAT